CTGCAATGCATTTGTTTAGGCAGTAGATATTTGTACAGAATGATTGCCTGATAATGTGATCCATGTTAAGATCTAAAACCAGCAAGCTACCCTAGGGTTAGACAAAGTCCGCAGGAAAATCCAGATGATCTTTGTCTGTTGATTGCATAACTAACACAATGCATTGGCGGGGGGCAGCTGCTCCTTCCTGGCTATGCTCATGACATCATGACAGTCCCAGGATTTGCTTGCACTCTGACCTGTAATTTAGAGGACAGAGTTGTCCTTCAAGAGGTATCTAAGTGTTATGTACTGAGGTTCTCACCCTGGGCCAGCAGGGGGATACTGTAGATAGTTTTCACTCAGGTCCACATATGCAAATAAGGGATTGAAAGTGACGTTCAGTGATTGGATAGTTACAGAAAATAGTTACAGTTGCATTGTAGTGGAGCTCTATATAAGCAGGCTGACTGAACCCTTCAGTTCAGTTCTGTTCTGGCCTGTGAATAAACAAGAGCTGTTTGAAGAATCGCTGTGTTGTCTGATATGTTCACCCACAACATAACACTAAGCACTGGTAAGAGGAGGAGCTTTCATTACTCTAAATTAGAAGCATTTAGCTCCAGCTGGAAGAAACATTACTTTTAAAAGGGAAGCAGCTTGTCATTATGCATGCTGACAAGCTGCATATATCAAGGTTTCAAGAGCATGCTAAGTTTATAGTTCCCTGCCTCATCCTGCTAATCCACTCCTGCTCTGTGTAACATCTAGCCTGATAAAGAGTTTTTCAACTCAAAAGTCCACTCACTATTTTGCATTATTTTTGTTGGTCCTACTAAAGTTACTGTCCAGGGTGCAGGTTTTGGAGGGTTCTTTCCTTATGGACCAATGTAGCTTTGTTTTTGTAACTAGTATAGTCCTTCACACAAGTGCTTAATCAATTTTTTCTTTGGGGGGGGGAGAAAGAAATCTTATTTGTGTGCAGATTTCTACATATTGCATACTACTGCAATATACACAAGTTCGATATGTGCTGGCTGAGTGAGTGAGGAAATGGCCAGAAAGTGGTTTCAGTTTTCCTTCTGATTGCTCGAGTCCTATCTCAGTGAGCAGAGTATCTACCTGCAGCTTTCCCTTGGTTTACACTTCCTCATTCCGTATGCATTGCCTTTCTTGCCCCTGCAGATTAGAATGCCAGTACCTGCATTCTACGCCACTACTTTCCTATGCCATTGTGTGAATATCAGGCTCTTTCCTCTGTGCTTGCTGCCTCTCAGACTATGAAATAGAGCGGGATGGCTAAAAGAAACTCGAGGATTGGATACGAGCAGGGAGTACAGGGAGGAGCGGGCAGGGGACTATCTTTTTTCTCATTTATGTATGCCATCCAACTTTTTTTCCTGATACTGGGCAAATAGAAAAATTAAGCTAGCCGAGCCCTGCTTCTTTCAGGTGTAAAGGTATTAGCAGCATCCGTCTATTTTTTCTTTTATTTTTTCTTTAATTTTTCCAAGGCTTATCTTAGACGGAACATTAGGCTTGTGTTGAAACATTTGTACATATTTTGCCTGTTCAATAGAGTATTGAATTCAGACTCCACACCAGAGTTCATAAGCAAACTAGTTTATTAACATCATTATATACAAGTCCATAGCTGAGCTCTTAATACAGGCTTTCAGTGGTGTTTGTTGAATTCAAGCACATAGAATTAAATGTGCGTTGCTCACTGACGTACAACCAAATGCCCCCTCCCCCAAACACATACTATTATTTATTAAATTGAGTGTCACAGAAGGTCCCCTAATATAACTTTGTATGTAACACATTTTAATCAAGGCAGTTAGATCAATTGTGTCATGCTGTGTGGTGAGTTATTAGCTAGAGAAATAGCAAGTGATACACATAAATGCATTTTGAATCCATCTTCAAGTTACATTTTTTTAAAAAATGAAGAAAAATCCTACTCCTGTAGTCTTGGCTTTCCCTCCAAGATGTTTCAATGGAAGCAGTAATTCCATCGAGGTAAGATGCAGCTGAGGTCTTTCCAAAGTTCAGGAGAAAATACATGTTATTTTTAGCACTATGTTCACAGCAGCCCTGATCCAGCAATGTAGCCCATTATCTCTTAACTGTATGAACCTTCCAATTCCTTAAGATCTATTTTGAGAACCATTTCCAAGTGCTTTCCCAAAAGAGAGATGATGATGATGATGATGATGAAAGATGCTGGTATCTTGATAGTGGCACCTCAGTTGTGGAAAGCTCAAAAAAAAAACCCCAGCACTGGCGGTATATTTGATTTTTTTAACTTTTAGGTGCTGTGTAAAAATGCTGCTAAGTTTCCCAAGCTTTTTATTAGAGAATTCCATTGCTGTATCAACTGTTACTATACCCACAGTTTACTGTTACTGCTTTTATGCTTCTTTTCTTTTCTTTTTTAATTGCTGCTGCTGTTAATTATTGTGTTGTTGGCAGCCTTGTCAACATTTTGTAAGTTGAAAGGTGGGATATTATTTAAATAAAACAATATCTGATCAGCACTTAATATTTCAGGGGAAGAGTCACTAGCCTTGCCATGCTGCTGTTTTCAGCCTTGTTGTTTGGGGAGATGTGGCTGGATAGATCCTTCTGCATGGAAGTTGTATGCCAGGAATTTTAAATATTTCAAAAACAAAAACAAAGTTTTCCAAAACAGCAGAACAGATTTGGGGAGAAGAGGTTGAAAAAAGCAAGAACAAGCAGTTGAATAGGAAACAAACAAGAGGCATCAAACAGATAGATGTGGTATGTTTGCCATGATGCTTCAGAGTTAAGTTAGCACATCAATAAATCACATGGGCACCAATGACATTTACGCGCTCACACACATCAGACAAACAAACAAACAGCCAAATCGCAGAGGTGTGTAGGGAAGTGGTAAGACATTGCTAGCAATACGAAAAGTTCACCCCAGTGCATTTTCATGGTCTAGTAGTCACTAGACTCCTGTGCACAGTTGTATTCTACATACGGATTACGAGAGCAATAGATATACTAGGTAGAGGAATACCTGAATCCCCCACCCCAAATGACAAAGTCATGTCATTTGAGTTCTGAACAAGCACAATAAATCCACTGGGTTTTAGGGAAATGTCTTGTTTCTGCTGAACAAATGAGCAACAACTGCACAGCCTATGGCAAGGCCTTTTATAAGCAATTGACAACCTGAGCACTTTTGCACGTATAGAAGGGTAGGAGACAAGAAGAAATAAGTGGAAGGCATTCAACTGATCCTTGTGTCTTGGTCCACATTCAGCATGAGAGATCTTCCACACTCTTTGTAGTACAGATGAGTGCAGACATTTGGTTTCTTCTTTCCCATTTCTTTCCAGGGGCCCATCATCTGGTATCGTTCACTGTGACAGTGTACTATTTATCTTAATTTCCTTCCATTCAGTAGACCAAACAGTGAGGAGCAAGAAATGCCTTTCTCATTAGGGGGTGAGCTGTCCCATGCTTCCAGGGGTTTCACACCTGCATCTGTCCATTTGGTCATTAAAATAAGCTTACTCTTTCTAAGTTTCGTATCCTATATGATTGACCTAATCATCCATTTAAGAAAAATGTAGCAAACTCTCAAAATTGATAGCCATCTTAGTAGCTGTTCTGAGCTGATACAGCTAAGTACAGGTTGCAAACCTAAATAGAGGTGGAATCTACACTTATAAAAACCATTGTGAAAATGCTTTTTTAAATGTTTTTTTTTTAAAAAATACATTGAATTTTCCATAAGGCTCACCATTACCATCTAGTGTCATATTGTATATTGCGCTTAAAACGTTTTATTTGCAGCTGTATAGCTGAGTCCTAAGTCCCATTTCAAATCTTGCCACTGTCACTGGATGATCTTAGGCATGCCACTAGATGTTCAATATTATTCTTCCCCCAACACACACTTATGAGCAGTATCGGGATAACTGCAATGGCCTACAGAATACAGCAATTGCCATAATTTATTTATAAAATCCTTTATCCCAACTTTTGGTTCTTAAAAGTAGCCTTGAGGGGACCGATTAAACAAACAAACAAAACAAACCACAACATATAATCTTAAAAGTCATTAAAACATAATCAACCAGTGTGTGTGAGAGAGAGAAGCATCTGAATATCTAAACCATTGCATAAAAGCATTTGTTTATGTATGCATTTATTTACATAGTTGGCTTGCAATTGCTGCAGGCCTGCCAAAACAGAAGAGCCACAGTGTATCCTGACACAAACACACACCCTCACACCTTCTTCCAATGTAAACACACACACACACACGAAAATAGAAATACTAGCTGCTCCATACCATGTTATTTCATAGTAAGCAAGTTGTTCTTGTTTTTTAAGGACAGATTTTGCTTTCTCTAGGCACGAATGGATGCAAAATAGGTGGTGTGATAATTTCAGGTTGTAAATGCAGAATTAGTTTTCAACTATTGAAACATTGTCCTGTGGTTTGATAGCAATGTCCGTCCTTTAATTTGATAGTTACTCCTCTGTCAAGCTGTTCTTTGCTCTGCTGTTGCTATAGAAACATTTACTGTTCACAGTTAACATTGTACAGTACCGCTAACCTAGACTCCCAGTGGAACAGTTGTACCTCTGACAGCGATGCAGGCTTAATGTACAGTTCTATATTTATGATCTCATTTCTTTCCTTTGAATGGATTAATTGCTTTCACCTTGTGCTGTTATTGCATGCCACTTTCAAACAATAGTTCAGACTGGGCTTTTTTAAAAAAAGAAACTAGGACTTAAAATGTTGTGGAACAAAGCACTCCTGTGGTATAAAATACAAGGCATATTGGGGTCAGCATGGGCTGATGCAGTACATAAAGGGACAGTATGCAGAATTCATCCATAATATGCTACCTTTTTAGTATTGCGTGACTAAATTGCAAAACTAGAAGCTCAGGAAACAAATGGAACAAACCAATGAGTTGCACTGAAATTACTTCCCTAAGTATTGTGTGTTTGTCTCTCTTCTTTAATAGAAAAAATCAGGCAAAGATATGCAGATCTGCCCGGGGAATTGCACATTATTGAACTTGAAAAGGACAAGAATGGACTTGGACTCAGCCTGGCTGGCAACAAGGACAGGTCTCGCATGAGCATCTTTGTCGTGGGCATCAGTACAGATGGCCCTGCAGGGAAAGATGGAAGATTACACACTGGAGATGAACTTTTAGAGGTAAGAGTAATCAAAGGAACCCACTGTTGAATTCAAACTAATAATGCAACAGAATTGCCATCCCCACTTCAAAGAAGTGATTCAGATCCTATGACTCAGCCCAGTTTTTTTAAGATTGGTCTTTCAAGAGACTGAATCCTATGAAACATTTTCACATATGTGGAGCCACTTATAATAATTCTTCCAGAAAAGAATCTTTTATTTGGAGCGGCTATTGTACATACAACTTGACTTCAACTGGTCCAGTGATTTGAAGGCTTAGTAAGCAAGCTAAAGTGTGGTATATTTAGATGGGGGCTACTGTTGGTCAAAGAGGAAGGGAATGCCATAAGATTTCATTGATTGTACATCCAGTGGCCAGAGAGAGGTGCGCCCATTCTATGCAGCCCCATAGTTACATAGGATTTCAAAAGAAAAGTCAAATTAATTGCAAGAGTTTAAAAGAGCTGTTGGCTGTGAGTGTGAGCTGACAAATTCATGGCTAAGAGCATAGGAATGTGTCTTATACCAAGTGAGATTATTTGTTCACCTACACCTGTATTGTCGACCCCAGGGGTGGTAAGCCTCCAGCCTGTGGGCTAGATTCGGCTCATATAGCTGTTTTTGGCTAGCCACACCTACTTGTCACTCATGTGACATCATATGACACCAAGTAAACCCTGTTTGGGATGGTCACAGCTACCAGGGAAGAATTGTTTGATGTTTTATTGTGTTTTTATGTGTGTTGGGGGCCACCCAGAGTGGCTAGGGTGGCCCAGCCAGATGGGTGGGATATAAATAAAATATTATTATTATTATTTGGGAAGGTGCTAGTGTTTGCTGGCAGTGGGGCTTGCATTTGACACTGTTTAAATTCAGGGCCAAATGCAAGTCTTGCTTTTGGGTGGAGCCAATCCATGCCAAAGGCAGTGGGGACATGCAGTCAGCACGGGATTTAGACAGCACTGAATGCAATTCCCACTGCTAATAAACAATTAGGAGCTTATGACCAGAAGTGCAGTCCCAACTTCCTTTGCGATGGGACCTGCATTTGCTGCTGTTTCAATTCACTAAAGGCAAGTCCGCATGTTTTTGTCCAGTGGGCTTGAATCCATCTAATATCATATGACAGGTGCCCTCAGAGGATTTGACCCGCTGGATAAAGGTTCCCCAACCTTCTGACTCTGACTTTTACTAGCTCTCCTGGGCCTCCAGCAGGTTTTTCCCAACCTTGTTGCTTGAGCCTCTTAACAGGAAATGCCAAAGATTTCACTTAGGACCTTCTGCATACAAAGCCTGCCTGCTTCCACTGAGCTAGGTCTCTCCCACCTTAGCCACAAACTCACTAGATGGACTTAGACAAACCATTCTTCTCTCATCTTCAGTCCCCATCTGCCCAGAAGCCTAATGCTAACCTACCTTACTGGGCCATTGTAAGCATTACTGGGGTAATATATGTGAGGTAGTGTGAATACTTGCATGTACCCCATGAATAGGAAGTAAATAGTAGTTATAGTTGAAGAAGATGATGATGATACAAGAATGTTATATCTCACAGTAATAATTTGTATTTTTAATGCAGCATTTCCTACTTGGTGACTTCACAGCTTTGGCAAAATAAAAAAGGATGCCTGAGGAAATGCGAAAACAATCTAAACATTTGTCAGTGCCTAGGGATCCTCTAATTACATGCTTCTGACATAATGTGTAGATTTGTTTTGATGTAAAATATTGTTGCCTTTCTCTCTGCTGGAATGAAAAACTATTAAAAGTCTGTTTCACTCATGAAAATGTGACAGGCAAATTTGGCATCTCCTTCAATTCCTGTGATGTTTCATATTTCAACAGGATGAGATTCTCTCACTATAAGGTTTAAACTCTGGACAGATATAACATTGTCTTCTTACCCAGAACAGAGGAGATGACTGACCATTACTCACATGTACTTTTAAAATTAACTAAATAGAGTCAAATCTTAAAATTGCTTATCCCCCAATATTATTTTTTTGTTAGTGGGGGCAAAAAAAGTGATCAGTTAGGTAAGGAGAAGACAGTTTGTAGCAGGGATTAATATGAGGCTCAGTTCGAGACCTATTTTACTGTGCAGTTAAAGCTGAGGCATACAAAATGATAATAATAGAGAAGTGGAAGCTTAAATGTCTTCTCCTGACCATGTTCCCCTGAAACTGAGGGTGAAGAGTTTCCATGTGAGAATCATTGTCTGTGGTAGGTACAAATTCCTCTCAGCTTATAAATGAATAAGTGTTTCATCTAGATCAGCAGTGAGCAACCTGTGGTCCTCTAGAGATTGTTGGACTCCATCTGCCCCAGGCAGCATGGTTAATTGTTAGGGATGATGGGAGTTGCAGGTTCTCTGTCCCTGATCTAGTCAAAGGTTGCATACTGTAAAGAAGATTCATTTATTATTATTAATTAGTATTCTTGGCTTAATTGAGGAACCCAAACGCCCAGGTCCATGTTGCTTAAATCTGTTTTCACACAATGAACCAGAAACTGGTGGCAGCACTGAATGAAGCCTACTAGACAAGAATAAGAATTTACACTGGCATCAATTATCTCACACTACCTTAGGCTTCCAATCAGTCATAAGAGAATAGGAATTCTGATTGATGAACCCAAAGGTGCATCTATTCGGATACTCATCAGGATGCTCATCAGCAGGAGATTGTATAGTTTTGAATTCCATCTGAACAATTCGGGAGCTTTGCCCTGCAATGCAGAGGGAAACCTAGTTCAGTTTTTAGAACCTGAACTATTTTAGTTCCTCTGCTGAAAGTAAGTAATAACAGAAAGATCTATCATATTGACTAAACACCTCATTCAGATTGATTGCTGAACTTGGGGTGCTGCAGGCCCTACATTCTTGGAAATCCAGCATTTGTAATCCACTTTCAACACCAAACTTCCTGACATTTCAGCTGCTGTTGTGCATTTCTGTATCAGCTGGATTTTAATAGATAAGTTATCACCATGGTATAGGAACATGCTGAGTACAAATCATTTTGAGAAGGACTTCTTTTGACAAAGAGGATGAATATGTTCTGTTTGTAAGGAAGTAACTAGACAGGGTAATAAAAAAAATGATTTTGACCAGCCTTCCATTTTTTAAAAAATAAAGCATACTGCTTTTAAATCCAGTTAATTATATTTGGCTTATCTGTTGAGCTTGTATAATATTAATTTTTGCTGGCAGAACTGCTTGTTGTCTTTCAGCTGGAATGGTCACACTAATGAAATGTGATCAACTTAAAACATAGGTGTGCTGCATACTCTTGGAAAATAAAGACAAAGAAAACAATCATGGGGGGAAGGGGAATCTGTGGCCCTATAGATGTTGTCCGGACCCCCAATTCCCATGAGCCACAGCGAGCACAGCCAATTATCAGGGAAGGGAAGGGACCATAACTCAGTGGTAGAGCATCTCCTTTGCATTCAGAAGGCCTCAGGTTTAATTCATGTTGTAATCAGGTAAGGGTATCTGGTACCCCACCTGATACACTGCAGAGCCACTAGCAGGTACGCAATATTGAGACAGGATGGACCAATGATCCAGTTCAGCTTAAGGCAGCTTCCTATGTTCCTCTCAGAAGTCAATAAGTTTTCTTGAGTTCTCAGCCTAAATGGAGTGGGGGCTTTTTAAAAAAAGGAAGAAGAAGAAAAATATCATTTTCCTCTGGAGACAATTATCCAGCCCAATCCCCTTCCACATCCTGACACGTAGCTGTAATTTCCTCTTCCTTAAATTTCACTCGTTAGTTTTCATTACCTTCTGTACCTCGTCCACCTTCTGCGAAATATTTATGATGTCACCCTCCCACCACTAAGAAATTGCTGCCTGTTAAGGCTTTCCTTGTGTTAAATGTTATTTTAGGCTTTGTTAATAATTTAGCCACTCTAGTTCCCTAGTTTATTTATCTTACTCTCCCATGAGCTTTGCTCTTCCTCCATGACCTCCCTCCCGTTTATCTGTGTTTCTCGTAATGAGCCTAGAGCAGCAGATTTTGTCATTACAGTAAGTCGTGGTTCTTTCCTATCCCTACACTGAAGCCTGTAACAAAAGCTATGCAATTGGAGGTTTTTATTAGTTTGTGGGAAGGGGAGAGAAGCCACAGGTTGGGTTTGTGTTTATGATTTATGAAGTTACTGTTAAAAATCAGTAGATTTGCTTATTATTACTATGCTTATATCCCATCTATCCTCCAAGGAGCTATAGTAATATACAGTTTTCTTCTGTGTTATCCTCACAAAAGCCCAGTGAGGTAGGAAAGGCTGAGAGATGGTGACTGGCCCAAGAATAACTCGGTAAACTTCATGGCTGAGTGGGGATTTGAACCAAGGTCTTTCAGGTTCCAGCCCGGCAGTCTAACCAATAACCCTCACTGGTTGCATTCTACAAGCATAGATCTATACTTATGGTTGTTACTGGAAATGTCTGCACCCCGAAATCCAACACTGAGGCACTCAACAGCTGTGTTGAGTTGCCAACTTATGACTGTCCAGTAGTGCCAGCTCAGAGCAACTGTTAGAGCTTGAATAGACTGAGCACTGGTATGATCTAGCAGGTAGGTGTTACCTTGCTGTTCACGGGATATTCATGGCATGGGTAGATGGTAGGGGGTTTCTAACTTAATTTGGAAAATGGACTGTAGTACACAGCTTAGCAATTTGTGGCCACGCATTCCAGCTGATAACAATTGGAGAAAAACAGTTAAGTTGCTTAAATGCACAAGTTTTGTAAGGAAAAGCTCAATCTTGCTTCATGCGGAGGGCTGCCTTCTTCACATGGAGACAGACTTCTGTGACAGTAGGCAGATGGAGGTTAGCACTGCCTGTTTTCGCCCTTCATGCGTTTTTGCACAATACCTTCCTAAAATGCAGTTGTGCTTTAAAAAGACTCCTGTAGAATACTGATCTGAGCTTCTGAAAGGGAAAAAGAGTAATGTAAAGTAAAAGTCTGATATGGTTTGACACTGTAATAGGTTCACAGGAAATGTGATTTCTACTGCCTCAATTCTACAGTGTGTGCAGTTTCTATCTCTCTTTCATTCTGTAGCTTTGTTTGAAGTGGTAGACAATGCAAACTATGTTAATGCCACTAAACTTAACTCCCAAGGTTGTTGTGGCATAATTGTTCCAATTGATAACCAGCCTTGCCCACATGGATAGCTAATGCCAGACTAAAAATGCAGAATGCGAATATAAAATACATAATAAAATGAAAACAAACCAATAAGTCTCCTCCCATAAACACGTTTAACATTTAGAATGTTTTCTCTGGTTGAAGAGAATTTTTTTCGCCTGGCACCTAAAGATGTATAATTAAGGCACCAGGTGAGCCTCCCTGGGGAGAGCATTCCACAAATGAGGAGCTACGGCAGAAAAGGCCCATTTTGCTACCCTTGGACCTCTCATGGGAGAGGCATGATTGTAGGATCCAGGTCAGTTTATATGGGTAGGGCTGGTCCTTGAGATATTTTGGTTCTGAACCGTTTAAGGCTTTATAGGTCAAAACCAGCACTTCGTTGGATTCAGAAACTAATTGTCAGCCAGTGCTTCTTTCTTCTTCTTTGGTGTTCACTCGTAGCGGAGTAAGATTGTCTTCCATGAATACGGTCTTAAAAGTGTGTCCGTAGGTGATTGTGGAGGCCAATTCTGGATCCACACGTCCTTCCACAGTGGGGACATAGGTCTCTGGGTGGGAGTTGATCACGGTGAGGGTTTGCCAAACATGCCTTCCTCTTAGATCATTTCTCCCTTTTGCCCTGAGTTCGAGGATCTTCAATGTCCATGACACCTTTGGTATAGGCTGTTCTCCAATTGGAGCGCTCACAGGCCAGTGTTTCCCAATTGTTGGTGTTTATACTACATTTTTTATGGTTTGCCTTGAGACAGTCTTTAAGCCTCTTTCGTTGACCACCAGCATTACGCTTTCCATTTTTAAGCTCAGAATAGAGTAGTTGCTTTGGAAGACAATAATCAGACATCCGCTCAACATGACCAGTCCAACGAAGTTGATGTTGAAGAATCATTGCTTCGACACTAGTGATCTTTGCTTCTTCCAGTACACTGGTATTAGTTCGCCTGTCTTCCCAAGTGATGTGTAAAAATTTTCAGAGACACCATTGATGGAATCTTTTGAGGAGTTGGAGAGGATGTTTATAAGCGATCCATGTTTCAAAAGTGAACAGTAAGGTTGGTAGTACCAGTGCAGTCAGGCTAGGAGCAGTATAATATGCTCAAACCGTCTTGCCCCAGTGTGCAGCCTGGCCACCAAATTCTGCATCAGCTGAAGTTTCTGAACCATCTTCAGAGCCAGCCCTACATATAACAAGTTGCAGTAATCTAACCTAGAGGTTACTAAAGCATAGACAACAGTAGTTAGGCTATTCTTGTCCAGATAGGGGCACAGCTGGGCCACCTGAGCCTCAAGCTGACAGCAAAGGATACAGAAGTACCCCCAAGCCACATACCCACTCCTTCAGAGGGAGTGTAACCCCACTAAGAGCAGGCAACCTCCCATCCATCTGGTCTAGGGAACTGTCCACTAACAGTGTCTCAGTCTCTGGATTGAGCTTCAGTAGGACCAGAACCATTGCAAAATGATGCCACCCAGCCATAACTCAGACAGCCGCTCCAGAAGGATTTCATGGTCAATAGTATCAAAAGCCGCTGAGAGATTGAGGAGAGTAAGAGACACATTTCTCCTGGCCATCTCCCAACAGAGGTCAAAGCAATTTCTGTGCCAAAACTGGGCCTAAACCCTGTTGGAAATGGACCTAGAAAATTAGCTTCCTCCAAGAGCAATCAAGGAAAATCAAGCAACACAAACAATCCCTCCTTGCCTATTTCTTTCACTTTCTCCTTTCTTGCTATTGAAGATAAGCGTCATAAAAGAAGGTTAGGATATTTCCTTCAGAGTTATTGATGGTGTAATAAAATTAGAAAACAATACTTAACCTTTTGTTACTGTTTAATTTGTAACTGTCTCAAATATTCTTCATAAAACAGATAAATAACCAGATCTTGTATGGAAGAAGTCACCAGAATGCTTCTGCAATCATTAAGACGGCACCATCAAAGGTCAAGCTGGTATTTATACGGTAAGAATGGCATAGTCATTAACTCTTGTGCTCATCATTAGTGGCCTGAACTTGGGGGAGCTGCAAAATGAGAAAGATTCAGTATTCAAATGAAATTGAGGGCTGCTGAAGTGTGCTCCATTTGTCACACAGTTCCCTTTCTTTCATTTTTTCCCCATGATGTAACCTCTCATTCTGGTGGTGCCCTCATCTGAGTCTACTGAAAACTGATATGTCAATGCCTCGAAATTAAATTACTTTCACATTTTAGCAAGTCATGGAAGACCAGTGTGATAGATTAGAACAGAGCATAAGGTGGTTTGGTAGAAGGCAATCCAAGTAAAACAGAGCAAGCTCTTCTTCAGTTTAACGGAAGATCAGACAATATTAAACTAACTGGATATTGTGTAACTTCCTTGAGCAATTCAGGATCCAAGTAGGAAGGGAAAACAACTAAATGAAAGCAGACTCTAGCCTTTTTCATATGTATTTCATGACTGCAAAAGCAGGAAATTCTTCTCATATAAGCCAAGCCTGATTCAGAGGTGGTGAAGCTGTGGCTCTCCATATATCACTGGACTCCAACTTGAATTGTTCCTCACCTTTGACCACACTGGCTTGGGTTAATGGGAGTAGGAGCATGACTATATCTGGACAGCTACAACTCCTTAATCCACTGGTCTAGGCCATATGTCTGGCTTGCTGTGCGGAAATAGAGAGATCCTGGAACTGGAAACGACATGAAAATAGCCTGACACCATGAGGGAGGCGGAATTATCTAAACCTAATTCAGTACACAGTTGCTCCAGTTTGGAACAGAAATGGGGAACCTGCAGCCTTTTGCCTAATTTCATGTGATTGGGGGGAGCCCAGGGGACAGAAAGTGGGAGGGAGAGGAGAAATGAGGTTGGGGGAGATGAAGAAGGTAGAAGGAGAATGGTAAAGCCCTCTGTGGTTAGTTCAGGCCTCTGGCAGTAACCAAAGTCCCTCCCTCAGCAGCCCATTGGACTTGAAAGAAGGGGGAGAGAGAAGTCAGATGGAGAGAGGAAAGGGGGGGGGCTCTGCCTACTGCAGCCATGTGGCCCCTGACTTTAGCCCTAAAGGGAATGCAGCATTCAAGAGAAAAAAGGCTCCTCACCCCCAGTCTGGAGACTCCTTGGATGAAATCCATAAGGACAATTTGTGTGCATGCCATTTATTTGCCTTTGTTGCCATATTTTGATTATTACATATATCCATTCAGTTAAAAGCAAGGCAATCAATGTACTCTAGCCAGCAGGTATAGTGTGTTCAAAAGAAGGTTTCCATTTCCATGGCCTCAGCTGAATGGGGAATTGTGTGCATAAACAGGTCCTGTGCAGGCGGCTAACCTTTCAAATCAGGTAGTTGGGGTTGTACACATGGAGACCTTTCAGAAAGACCCTGTCAATCAGCTGTTCAAGGAGAGGCGCAGGGGGTTCATTTTTTAATGGTTCCCGCCTGCTTCTCCTTCCTTGCCAAGAATCCGGCTGGTGGCATTTTAACCTTTTGAAAGAGCTCCTTACAGGTGGATCTGCTACTCTCATTTATGCAAGCTCAGATGGGTTGGTGCATTAATGTCTATGCTGCTGGGTGGTCCCAGAAGTGATAAGAGAGCACAGGAGGCCATTGCCTAGCAACTGAATGACCAGGTTTGGTTTTTTAATTTGTGTATATTACACAAGCAGAAAGGAGGAAAGACAAGGTAGCATTGGCATGATACGAGAGAAAGCAGGTGCGAGAAGAGAAAGGCCTGCTGACCTTAGGAGTACATCTCTCTTTAGCTCTTGCCCTTGCCATTCCAGTCCCTGGGCAGCTCTTTAAAGCAAGGAAAATAATTCAAGCTGGCAACAAACAGGAAAGCCAGCATTTCCTCATGGGCGGCCTGTCCCATTTCCTCACCTGAGGCAAAATGGGAGTTGCCCCTCCTGCCCCTCTGCCATGCCCCACTTCCGCTGCTACCGTGTCCCAGCTCTCACTGTATTCGGTGGGAGCCAGGGTGCTCCTCATAGTGTTGCCACTCACTCAGCTTCTCCACCCAGGGGTGGGGAAGATGAGCAGCAACGCTGCATGCCAGAAGTTCTCTTGAACTTCCACCGCTTGAGGCAGGTTCTTCACCCCACGCCATGGGTTCTAGGAGTGGGGAATCTGAGGCCTGGTAGCCAAATGTGGCTCTTTAGGCTTCTATCTGGCCCTCTCCTCCACACAGGCCTCCTCCCCAAGCCACACAAGGAATGTGTCCTTGCTTGTCTGGATGGAGAGGCGCATATTTATAAACCTCTGACTTTTCAGTGGCTGTATAATCGCTTGCCCTGTCTGCTTTTTTGTCACCCATCAATAGCATGTGGCCCTCAGAAAGTTGCCCCCAAGGGGATGTGGCTTTTTGGCTGAAAAGGGTTTCCCCATCCCTGCTCTACAGGATTGGAATCCGGCTTTGTTACTAAAGCCATGTTTTGCTTTTACTGCTACAATAAGCTTTGCTGACTGTGTGTTCAGTTCAGCTTTTCTCATACTGCCTAATTAGATTTTAGACCTATGGCTGGGACTATTGTTTTATTTGATCTTTTAAGAAGGTAGAGTGCCCAGCAGATTTTTAGGTGAAGAAAAAAGTATTTGTGACATGTTGGTTTGGATGTAATGATGCCCTGGTGCAAGTGAAAGATGCTTGTGTTTGTGTGGAAATGGAGAAGGAGAGAGAAGAGCAGGAGGTCTCCATTTTCTATCAATTTTTGAAAGTGCCAAACCCTGTGTTGAATCAAACACCATTCTGAAGGGTCTCACTGACCCTCAGGAGAGGTGTTCCAGGAAGATGAGGGAATGCAATTAGACAGGAAAGTCCGTTCTGCTATGTGAGAACACCACTAGCAATTCTTAGGATCCATGTTATTATTATTTGGCCTTTGCTGATAGTGTGACTGGGGAACAAATGGCAAACTAGTTGGTTGATTTACTGCAAGGAAGACCACTTGAGGACTTTTGTCATCACTTTGGCTGGTAGCTAAACAGCTCACATTGCAGACGGGATGCCTCATCTGTGGAATGCAAATAGGTCGGCTGCCACGGGCTAAAGGTAGGCAGCGGACAAGCATGGTGCTATTACCTGATAGATGTGGAAAGCATTTTTTGAAGCATAGTTTTGTATATGATCTGGTATGACATTTTGAAAGAGACTGGGGAAAGAAATTAGACTATACATGAGAGGCATGGGAATATGGTGTATGGAGAAGAAACTGAGAGGTGAAATATTGTAGGATGTATAGAGGACTTAAGTTCGCTAGGAACACCAGCCAGCCAAACAATTAAGCATGTCCTTTAATCTCTCCCAGACCTTACTTTTGGCTGATCTATATCACCGCAGGCATGAACTTACTAAAAGGCTTCACTTTACTCTGCCCTTATCACATCTGTAAGTCAGGGATATTAATACTGGCTTAGCTTACAGTGTTGATGTAAACACCATTGGGACAATTTTGTGAGGAGGCTATTGCTGTATGTAAAAAAACAACACCTTTTTTAAAGCAAGCTTTGATGTCCTGTGGCAACCAACTACAGAATTAACATGGAAATGTGTTTCCCAGTTTTAGGATTTGAAACTATCACTTGTTCAGATTCTCTCTTCTTAGTTGGATATTATGGAATGGTTTCCCCCTCAAGGCAAACAGATTTAGTTTGGCTGTGGCATGTGCCAGTGACTGTTAAAATCTGTTGCCTATGCAGTTAACATTATGATTTTCTATTACATGTTCAGCCATTAATCAGATTTTGCAGTACAGTATTCTGAAAACCACCATGGACCAGCTATTTCTGTAGATGCTTGTCAATTTTTAATGTGTATTTTATACATTTCACGCTGGTTTGTAGCCAGAGTGGTAGCCTCATCCCCATCTCAGAATTGGGTTCATCTATACTGGTGATCAAGAGTGAAAATGAAACCGCCTCCATCCTTGGTTTCTTGTGTAGTATAGGTCAGGGGGAAAATTGACATCCGGGGAGGAGGATTTCTTTTCTTTTTGGCATTTTTGTAAAAAAAAAAAAAAAAGCTGAACAATTTTGGAGGTTTCCTAAAAAACGCAACAACCTTTGGGGTTTCCTGGTTTTTACTTTTTGAAATATGGCAACCCTATGAATACTGAAGTTTGATTCTGGTACCCACTATTTGTTACTGACCCCCCTTTCTAAGAAATATAAGCAGTGACTAAATCTATGCTCCATATACATTATAAGTGAAAATCAACCTTAGAGTCACTGTGTCTGGATCTTAATGTCTCGATAAGTTTGACCATATGTGACTATGGTTGAAGAGCAGACCCAGTAAAATGAAAAATTAGTTGTTATCCTTGGCAGTGCAAGGCAACCAGAGGAGATTAATGATCTTGCTTTCAGCCTCTTACTTTTCTCAGTTACTGAAATTAAATGTCGTGTACAGCAGCTCACTCTCCATTACTTAATTGCATTTGAAAATGTGTCTGGGAAAAGCTGCTCCGACGGTAGAAAAATCATATATGAAACTGGATCCAAGTGGGGTTGGCGATTGCCCTGCTCTTCAAAAGATTGGATTGGTTTATTTAAATAAATATAAAATGGGGCCAATGATAAAGAATGGCTAGTTTTGCATAGGAATTGCGGTTCTCTTTTCCTCCCTTCCAATTATTTAGACAAGAGTCTAACAGATACTTGAATTTTACATATATATAATATCAGTGCTTTTTTTCTTTAAAAAATGTTTACTCTCATTTTGATTCAGGAAAATCACCATTTTATAGTTCAAATTGGGGGAAAATAAATACACTAAATGGACAAAAGTACAAAGATTCACAAAATGTTTAGGGGTATGCGTACCCCCAGAAAAAAGCACCATATAATATTATATATTATACACACACATATATAAATAGCCTTTTAGTCCTAATGAGGGCCCTCAACATAAACATAAACATAAACTTTAAATTTAAAAATAAATTGGGTTAAGAACAGAACATAAAATATCTTAAAACCAGGAGGTG